TGAACAGCGCGTAGTTGTTCCATGCGATCTTTTTGCTGCCTCCCACCGGTGAAGAGTGTACGTACTCCGCGATGTGTGGCTTCGTCGACTGCAAGATACTGTTCGCAGCGAATGCACACCCTTATTGTGAGGTATGGAAACTAGCGCAAACGTCTCTTGTAAAGCCACATGGCAGAGGCTCCGAATGGTACGATGTGAGAGGACAATCTGCCGGACTGTTGGGGGCAAATCGGAATGAAGCCATGTGTGTGAAGTAACCCGGAGAAACTTGCTCAGCCTTACGCAAATTGACCCAGCTCCCCGGTTATGGAGGACGGAAGCGATTGACGGGTGCGGATGGTCTGGATGTTCGTCGCATTGCGATCCCGCTGGTCTAGACCTGATGGCTTGGGGTGTAGTACAGATGACGAGTAAGTTTGCTGTATGAGCCAACGAATCTTGACGATGGTAACGGTCGTATCCGGGCCGCACCCCAAATGGAATGGTCTGTGGGCCAACTTCCACAGCGAACGGTGTTGCGTCATCTTATAACCGTATTCGTTCGCAAGCGTCGATGCGGAAAATGCTCCGAGCATACGCGCATCGACACTGGAAGCGATCCGAGAGGCTCGGCATCTGGGTAGAAAATGTTCATGGAACGTACTCAGTATGTCGGCCGAGGTTGTGGACGTCACGTTAAAGGCGCCTGACTTAGAACGTTGAAGTCAGAACACGTGGCTGCACGTGGGGCGGTAACACAAGCTCGTAGCAGTGAAAATGTAAAGCAAGGTGGTCACCATGGTTGAGAAGACCAGACGCAAAGGTAGTGAGTAACTTGTGATTGCTTTTATTGATGAACGCCTGACCAACCCACCTGGGTACAGGTCATAAAATGCTACCCAAAACGCCAATATGTATGCAAGGGGTATCGCTGAATGCAAAAAGAAAAAGAGCCTCCCAATCTTCATGATCATGCAATCGTTTTCATGCAGTCATCATCATGTGTGTCCGTCATCAGTACCTGTGGCCTGCCACTGGAGAGCGCAGTGTGTATGTAACAAAAGAAAATGCAGTAACAGAATCAAAGCAGACGCGGCTTTACACCGTCTATAGACCCCTAAACTTGGCACCGTTCCGGTGGTAGATGCTGTGCACTGCGCGAGGAGTGATAGCCGGTGGAGCGACTGCCGGGGGAGCGGGTGGAGTAGCAACAGGCGCTGTCGGAGCAGGCGCTGTGACAGTGACCATGACAGTGTCAGTGACTGTGACAACGCCGTTGTCGCCGGCTGGTGGCGTTGGTGCGGCACCGGGACGACCTGAAAGTGTCGGGATCTCCATAGTAGCGCTGGAGGCCGCTGAGTTGCTGGGAGATGGCAGCTGGGCGGTAGCAGAGGGGACGATGGCAGATATCGGAGGAGAGTTGCTGGGGGCTGGGGGTGCAGCGCTTGGAACGGGAATAGCGCTGGTGGTGACTGGAGCTGTAGGACCCGCGGGCGGAGTGCTGTTGGTGGGGAAAGGAGCGTCGCCAGAGCCAGAACCTCCACCAGGAAGTGAGATCTCGGATGTGACTGGGCCGTATTCGCGCTTGAACGGTGAGTCGGTGAAAAGAGCAGTCCGAGACTTGAAGTCGGGGTGGGCGGTAGTGACACCATCCTGTTGCAGCATCTGGAACTTCGCCATCGCTTCAGGAGCTTCAGCTGCCATGGCAACATCGGCGGATGCGGCGTCGATGTCCATACATGTAGTAAAGTACTCATCCTTGCCTTCTTTGGGAAAGCCAGCTCGACCAGGCATCGATGCCCATTGCCAGACCCAGTACAAGGTGTAGGCTTTGCTGAGTTCCATGGTATCTGGAAGCTTGACATCTGTCTCGCAGTACATGACTGTGTTCGAAGGCCCGCTTTGAGGTGAGCCCATCGCATAGGCTGGAGAAAACTGTTCGCGTTCTTTGGCTTTTGGCGAACCGTTGTTTAGATAGCATCGTCCGTCATCGTAATCGGTCATGGCTAGCAGGACTCCACGCTTGTCGCCACCTTGCCCATCTTTTGTCCACTGCAGTACATCAACAAGCTTGTCGTCAGGCTTTGGTTCCTTGGTTCCGTAGACGAAGATCGTGCCACCCTTCTCGGGCTTCTCGGGGTTGGTGTCTGCGCTCGTAACATGTCCATTCTCTTGATATCGTATAGCGACGTAGCCACCCGGTGGAGATTTGAGACGAGGGAACTTATCGGCATTTGCTTGCTTTTGTTCGCGTTGGGTGGGTGGGCAGACCATGTCGTCCTTGTTGATATAGGCCCTGCCTTCGTTCACGCGGTAGGACATGGCGTCACCCGAGCCAGGAGCATTGCTGCCTCGGTCGACGAACCCCCGCGGGTATCCATATTGACCGACGTAGTTGCCTTTGTCGTCGATATTCCGAAGTTGCTCGCCCCAGCTGTGGCCCATAGCCGCGGGAAAGGCCATGAGCGCGGCGACGAGCGTTTTCCGTATGCTAGGCATTTTGATGTGTGTGTAGTCTCGAAAGTGAACCTTGCCCTGCAAGAGTAAAGTGTGGGATAGTCGGTGCCGGATGTCTTATCAATACTGGCGATACGTATATCCTGACGTGAGTGTTGTTGTCGAAAGCGGGACAGCTGGGAATTGGTGTACAGGAAATTATATCGTGACGAAAAGTGAAGTATCGGCTTGGCGGGCACTGTGAGTGGGCGGTCCGTCAATAGTCGTGTGACTCAATCCGTCTTCACCTCGCACGTAACGATGCTATTGTTCAATGACAATAGTACCGGACCTTGTGAACGACGCACTGCGCGCTCTAGGCTACAAGAAAATAAGAAATGCAAGAGAAGAAGTGAAGATGCACAAGCCGGATGTGAACACAAACTGCAATATCACGCGGCCATGGTCCTTTATTCAGGCGGGTGAAGGTGGTGAGACAGACGCTGTTGAGCGTTGTAAAATCTCCGGCCTAGAAGGGAAGAAGCGACAGGAGCCAATAGAGAAGGAGACACACGAGGTGTCGAAACACAGCGCCACTCCACGCGACGCCGCACGCAAGCTTTCGAGCCTGACTGTATGGGTGTAGGATGTGCGTTTCAACGCTGGCCGATGCTGTAGCCGCCAGCCATGGCTTTCCCGTCCCGCAGCGTGGTCGCGGCGTAGCGCGCTCTTGCTGCAGCCTCCCGTACTCTCCGGCGCGAAGATCGGCGTCTGTTAGTCGGTAGTTGGCAATACATGTGCATGGCAGGGCTACGCTAGCCATCCTCAGACATCAGAGGGGCCGTTGAGTGTCAGAGGACCGTGTGCCGTTGATCTACAACACAACGACGGAAGCTAGGCATCATCTAGATCGATGCGATTTTGGGGAAATGGAATAATGAGAGCCAGTGATTGCGATATTGTAAAGCTTTTTGCATCGCCCACCATCGTGAACCCACAAGCGTGACGTAAGAAACCGCGCAAAGCGCACGCAAAGTGGATGACAAAATGATCGAAGTGCCAGAGCGAGCCTAGATCCATCCGACGACAGGTGAATATGTGCCGGTGCAGCGCTTCGAGAAGGAAGGTGAACCCGCAAGCGACGGGTGGTGGGGTGAAGGTAGTTTGGTGGAGGCTCCACGTTGTTTCAGGTCAGAGCGCACGCGGGCGTTGATTGGTCATCGGCTGCCACGCTAGGCTTCAACCTAGGAATTAGAGATATCGCCTGATTGGCGCGCATCTCTCCATTTCACGATGCCCGCCAGCTAGCCTTTTCCCACGACCAGATTGACGCCCATCCAGTCTCTATATTTGACAAGCGAGATTCCAGACACCTGGCCAGCTTCATGCGCCTTTTTTCTTTTCCGATGCCGAGCACAGGCCGCGAGATGAGATGTTTCCTAAGACGCATTCCCACCCATACAGGCACGCTCCTATCGCTCCCTCGTGTTTCATCGATAAGGGTAAACGGCGGGGCGCGGAACAGCCCTGAGGCATAGCAAACGGCATCAACGGGGGCCTGGCCAGCATCCCCGCCTGTCAAAACGGCTCGCAGATTACAGGAACCAAACCCGAGGCTAACCACGTCGGATGTCCTTAGCAGGTGACCTCGTGCGGTGGCTACCCAAACCTAAAGGCCGAGATGTGTCTTCTGGAAGGTGACATTTCATCTCTCACAATGTCCTTACATCTTGAAATGTTATTGCAAACACGTCTCGACATTGGGGTTTCGAGGTTAGCCATGGAAGGTATGCCAGGTGGTGCCTGTTGGTGTCGTCGCTCTCTGGGTACAGTGGCAAATTGATGTGGGTAGCATGTTCACACGTTGGCGTTGAGACCATCTACAACTTGATCAAATATGCTCACGCAAACAACGATCGGCTGTCTTAGCCGTCAATATGCAATAGCGTAGAATGGCTGGTTGAGTGATGGGCACAACAGATGTGAAGAGCTTGTCCATCACAACGACAACCTCATATAAGCACTCCAACAAGATGCTCTAGCGGCAATAAGCTGCTGTCAAGATCAACAATACACCATTACCACGCTCGGAAACATATCAAGTGTAGAGACTACGTTTAGATCTCACCCGAACTACCTGCTTTAACTACTTGAACATGTGCCAATACACACTCGTCATCTACACATGCGCTCATACATCCCGCGCAGGAATCTTTTGGTGCCCATCAAGCCTAACGTCGTCACCAAATCGCCTTGGTCTCTGCAGCCGTGCGCAGTCAAACATCATCGAAGTGCAATACGAGAAAGCCTGCAATGTGTGTATACTGAGAGAGCACCGGGAAGCGAGGGCGAAAGGAGTTGAGACACGGAGAGAGGAGGGCAGACAGTAGAATCACGTGGAGCAGTGAGTGAGGACATAGGAGCGCTCTTGATCAGGCTAGCGTCCTTAGGCACATTTCATGGGGATACTAACGCACTCTAATACTTCCTTTCTTTGCAACCACAATATCCTCACTACCTACTTCTACCAATTTTACAAACTACACATTACCATACCATCCACATCCACATCCACATCCACAACAATGGCGTCAAACGCTGCCCCAGATGCGCCATCCCAGCCCGAAGCGCTGCTAAAGCGCGCCCGTGATGCCGCAGTACGCGCCCATGATGCCCAATTGCGCGCCATCAACGGGCAGCGAGCAATGCTAGATGCGCAAGATTACTATCACTACACCGAGCGCCGACGGCTGATCAACGAAGCCGAGAACGCAGCGCTGAAGCAAAAGGCTCTCAGTTTAGAGCGGCGCTTGAAGCTGGCGGATCTGGCAAAGCTAGAGCATGATCGCCTGAAGGATAATCTGAAGAAGTTGGATGAGTGGGAGAAGTACTTTGCTGTCTACAAGCAACGTGAGGAGGACGGACAGTGAAATGTGAGTAGCATGGAAGCTGTTCAACCTGGTACGGATCGCTAACGTGTTCAGTGTCGTCAAAAAACACATTGCGAGCAAGATAAAGAGGACCTTCCTGTACAATGTAATGGATCAAGGGGACTGTTCACAAGTGAGGGACGAAGAGTGCGACGAAGTGGGCAGTAACCGTTCAAATCATTCCACAGCATCATGATAATGCTACACATGCATTCAAGTCTCTTCTCGCACCATCAATCCTTTGACATGTGATTCCTTCCAGTCGTTCACATGAGCTCTTGCATAACTTGACAACTACACTGTGCGCAACTCCTTTCCACTTACTCCCCTACCTCACTACCACCCAACCGCCGGTAATAAGCACCGCCATCTCCCCGACATAAGCCATGCCATCTCTCAACATCAAACCGGAAAACTGTATCTGCGCTGCCACCATTCACTCCTTCTCCTGCCACTGCCATGAACATAGCTACACTATCACTTGCCCAGGATCAGCTCGCCATCATCGACCAGCAATCGTAGGTGTCGAGCTACATTTGAAGCCGTGCGACACATGCGCGGAAAGACTGGAAGATGTAGAGAGGGCGTGGTGTGAGAGGCGAGGGATGTGTCCGTATGACGATGTTGAGACGGAGGAGGAGGTAGTGGTAGAAGAGGGAGAGAATTCCGGGTCAGAGGAGTACGAGGATGCGGTTTCGATTATGACTGAACATTAAATCCGCATGCCGGAAAGGATACAACGCCCAAATATAGCAAGAAACGCAATAGTGACCCAGAAGTCTACATCCCGTCAAAAACTTGCAAACTTCCGGTTTGATAACGATGTAGACTCCAGGGTGTTTGATTTTCCTTGAATGTAGTGAGAGATGTGTGTGGCACGCCAACGCAGTGTCATCGGCAACCCATGGTACCGCATCGCGAATTGCGCGTACATTACCAATGTATGCTTCAAACCCTAAGAGGCCTTGCACAACCGCACAACACTCTCGCTTTCGCTCAACGATGTATATACCCCGAACTCGGATTCAGTGACTGCGCCTCTACAGCACAAGCGCATTCTGCCCCCACCTGCATCATCGCCAGTTGCGAGCGTCGCAATGCCGGACTTTGCAACCACTCGTCGTACGCTTGACGCGTTTCCGCGTTACGAGATACCGACAAAGACTCGCTTCGCGTACTACTGCTTGTTCTCCCTAGAATCGGTAGCTTTCTTCCAGATGCGACCTCTACGCGAAGAAACCATCGCCGAAGGATTTGTCTGGATCATGATTCCCGCACATTTACTCTGGATGGCGCTTCCCTTATTCTCCGTTTTTATATTCTACTCCGTCAATGACCACTCTATCGATGCCAATGGTCATCTGCTTCCAAGACAGGTAGACCCGAGTCCTCCTACATCATACACGATACTACTTACGATGACGCTTGTCCACCTCGGTCAGATCGCAATCTGGACACAAACCTACCTCGGCACGGCTCCCCCCTCCCCCAAAGACATCCGCGCACTCGTTCAAGAATGCACGCTCCACTTCGCAATGTCCTTCTGGGTACTCTCGGAGTGTGAGTATATACGCGCATACTGGCATTCGCGCCTACAAGAGTGGCCCGTCAATCTCATCACACTTCTCCGATCTATCCCCCGAGCCAATTTCGACCTTACTTTCCTCGTATCACGAGATTGTTGCAGCTACCGAATAATGCCACCGAGGGATAGGAGGACATCTATAGAAGCTCTCTGTCGAAGTCTGCTTGACTTGTTCGACATCATTGCTTTTACGTGGATGGACTTGGTCTTCCTTCTTTACCCTGTCAAGCGCTTCGCGAATCCCGCTCCTAATGGCGATACTTTCTCGATAGCAAACAGATGTTTTGGAGTGTTCTTTGCACCGCGGTCGGACTGGTTTATTTTGCTTGATATTGCACTCCAGCGTCCGGTCCGACCATTGAACAGGATGCTGTTTGAATCGGCTGTGGAGGGTGTCAAAAGAGGTCTGGATTGGTGGCGGCGGCGTGATCTACATGGGAGAGCTGATAGAAGCGATCCCGAGAGTACGAGTGACATGTCCCCGTTGTACATCCCTCCTGCCGACTGGTCTGACCTCTGGGTCAATAGCGAAGAGATTGCCTGGTGGTCGGTATCTCGACAGCTCTATGAAACGCCCTGGGACGACTGAAATACCTTGAGTCAAGATGGCACTTCCCCCGGACGACTCACCTCCCAGCCTCGCGGAAGCTCTCCATCGCTTTCTGGCATACGCAGGTATCTCCGCCGACGTCACGTCGGATCGCACACCTTCGTTAGATACGAAGACGAAAGCGAAGACTCCAGTATGGGGAGCTCCAAGTGACCGTGGAAAGATACGAGCCAAACGAAAAGGCTCTGGACAATACATGAAGTGCCTCAATGTTACACAAGGAGCAGGCTGAGCTTTGGGCCGAGACCTTGAGGAGTATTGATTGAGAGGAAGGCGAATGGGAGAACGAGGTGGAACGCGTCGCCTCGGGAATAAGATACTCGTGGTGGTTGCCTTCGGTCATAGAAGGTCGCCGTAGTCGCCCCTTCCTCGTTCGGTCAGGTTGGTCAAATTGTTCACGATAGTACGTAGGATAGCAGGCGCGCTGGGTCTACAAAGGCCATAATTGCGCCATTGAAGGGCTGCAAGCAGCGAGGGTCTCGATTTTGACCACAATGAATCTGTAGTGATACTGTAAATCCATCGTTAATGTCGAATCGTAAGCATCCCAAAGAAAGAGTGAAGGTGGCGTTTCTCGAGCATTCCTTGGCGCTCTTCAGCTTTGTCAGCCACTAGCGTCCGCGACATTCAGCCTAGCTTCGAGCTCCGCGCATCGCGACATTTTCCCAACACCGCGCGCGCGACAACCTCACACACCACGCCATCGCCGCCGACCTCCGCAAACTCGTCGCGACCACTTATACACCTCATCCAACACCCCGCACAACCGTCATCATGGCCAACTACCTCGCCTCCATCTTCGGAACGGAGCAAGACAAAGTCAACTGCTCCTTCTACTACAAGATCGGCGCGTGCCGCCACGGCGACCGCTGCTCGCGCAAACACGTCAAGCCGTCGTACTCGCAGACGATCCTGCTGCCGAACCTCTACCAGAACCCCGCGTACGACCCCAAGAACAAGATGAACCCGCAGCAGATGCAGATGCACTTTGATGCGTTTTACGAGGATATTTGGTGCGAGCTGTGCCAGTATGGACTTGTGGAGGAGCTGGTAGTTTGTGACAATAACAATGATCGTGCGTTCCCCCCACACTCATACCTTTACTCCCTTTGATTAGAAGAAGCTGCTAACGCAATCTACAGACCTCATCGGCAACGTCTATGTGCGCTTCAAGTACGAAGAAGACGCGCAAAAAGCGTGCGACGCGCTCAACTCGCGCTGGTACGCCGGCCGCCCCATTTACTGCGAACTGTCGCCCGTCACCGATTTCCGCGAGGCCTGCTGTCGTCTCAACAGCGGCGAGGGCTGTGTTCGCGGCGGCTTCTGCAACTTTATCCATCGCAAGGAACCGAGTGCCGAGTTGGATCGCGAGTTGGACATGTGCACGCGCAAGTGGTTGAAGGAGAGAGGCCGGGATGCCAGGAGTATGAGCAGGAGTCCTACGCCGCCTGCGGCGAAGAGCCGGTTTTAGGAAGATTTGGTGGCCGGGAGGATAAGGATGGGGCAGGGTTGAGGAGGAATGAGTGTGAAAGGAGTTTTGGCGTTGTGCATGCTCGCGCTTTTGGGACTGAGATATCCGTTGCGGGCATGGCGTTGCAGATTGACATTTGTACTATAGGCTGGGAACCATGCTAAAGTGAATGATGCGCTTGACTAGATACACAAAAGCACTCTGTCGGTTCACGTCAATCTGTTCGTATGTTTGGATGAACTTCGCGAGTTGTGCGTAACCTCAATGGAACTGACCCTCAAAGCAGTGCACTACAGTCGTTCTGTGTTCAGGTGTCTCTTGCAAGTCAATTCACGTACGCGCGATGAGGTGAGATGTTCTCGAGGAAAAGAAGCAGATATCGCATTGGTGGCCATGTAAGACCTGGTATCATCTGAAATATAAACATCGAAAAGAAAGAAGGCCGCGTATAGCAGTAGCGAGCATCCAAGTGCTCAAAACACCAGCCCAATCCAACCGTCAGAAAAGACATTAAACGCCCCATACACCCCGTCTATCCCAAAACACCCTTGTCATATATACACCATTCCTTCATTCCCCCTACCCCCCTTCATTCTTAAATAATCTTATGCTGCTTCAAAATAATAATCGTAACAACCACACCCGCCACAAGGAGCAGGAAACATATCCAAAAGCACCAGCAAATCCACGTCCTTTGCTTGGCCTTTCTCTGCTGACCGGCCAACCAACTATCTCTATGTGACGCGTCAGCCGTGATGGTCGTGGTGAAGTGGAAGCGCGAGGAAGGGCGTCCGGAGAGATGGCTCAGGGAGAGAGTGGAGAGGTTGGGGGTGCGGAAGAAGGAGTGGGGACGCGAGGATGAAGATGGGTGTGGGTGCGTTGGGGATGAGGGGAGGGGGGAGAAGGGCGGCTGGTAGGCGTTTTGCGTGGTGGTGGAGGGGAACTCTTGGATGGAGATGGAGGGGCGGAGTAGGGGTTTCGTGGACGGCGTCTTTTGTAGTTTGGAGCGGGGTCTCTCTTTCTTTTTGTCTTTGTCCGTCTCCTTCTCCTTCTCCGCCGTCTGCGTGTGTATTCCGCTCGAGAAGATCTCCGCTGACAACGGCGATAATGGACTCGAACCGGCGTAGGACGACCGTGTGGATTGCAGTTGGACCATGGGCGGGGATGTGATGGGTAGGTGTGTTTGGGAAGTGGGGGATCCGAGGGGAGGGGATAGGGAACTGCTGACGTACGATTGCTTGAGGCCCTGGGTTTGCGTGGTTTTTTCTAGGTCGTCTTGGTGGACGGCTACGCTGAAGCGTTTCCAGAATTGGGGGTCGCGGACCATTTTGGTATGTGTGTGGGTGGACTAGATAGCGAGGGTACGTAGGAGATCGCGAGTTATTGTGGTATGCTGAGCATGTACGTGTGAGGTGGCGATGGAAGTGGTGGTTGTGGTAGTAGTGACTTCGTCGTCGAGGTATATGTACTCGTAGTAAGAGTGATAGTGCCGATGGTAGAGGTTGATGAAAACAATCGATGTTGATGTAAAAGGCGATAGTCGACTATTAACTTCTGTCGAACTGCCACTAGCACGAGCGTTACGACGCCGAACGACAGATGCACGATGTCGCACAGCAACACGCGAGATTGTGGTGGGTATTCAGATTGGAAAGGGTCCAGCAGAGCCAGGAACCCGCCGCGTGTGTAGTGAATGACACGACGTAAACCTTAACTCGGGTAGTTGATCGACGATGGTTTGGGTGACGTAGCAAACGAACGGAAAGGAGTGAAGGTGGTTGGAGATCAGAAGTAGATCAGGCGATCGTTTGTAGTGTGTTGCAGCACTTCAAGGCGCAGTCGTGACGTGAAAGGAAAGTAGTTGCTAAGGCGAAAATGAGGAAACCGCCATACTTAACACCTGCCTGTCTATAGAGGCCCCTAAAACAACAGACCATGGGGCCTTGCACCCATGTGATGTAACACTGCTTGCCTAGACTCTCATGTCCAGGTGTCAAAGCAGGACTGCGATATTGTCGTGTGGTTTTCGTTGGTTTCGAGGTTCGGGCTTGCGGGTTGGGGATGGCCAATCAGGACGCGCAGCGCGGGTGGCATCCCTGTAGGCCATCACGCTGGACACATGGCGCCGATGGCGGTAAGGCGCGGGAAATTGGAGAGTTGGGATTTGAGACGAGGGATGCTGGTTTGATTGGCAAGGCCATGAGGCTGTTTGATTGCGTGCAGCGGCTGAGGCTGAGATGCAGATGTGTTCTACGCTGTACATACCTAGGTATTCTGGCGGTGTGTTCAACTTCAGCTTCGTCGCACTTCTCCTTACTAAAGTCGTCGAGGAATCATCATTGAAGTTGCTTGAACTCGCCCTACTTTCCATGACGGATGCTAGATGGAAGCTTGATGAATGCTTGAAACAAGGCGTTCTACGCAAAACATGGCTTGACATGGCTTGTCATGGCGACAACGGCCTTGCAGCCTCAGCGCGGTCCCACCCGCTGTTTCTGTCGTTCAACATGCCTAGGGCTCACCGCTAGGGTTCCCTAGACTGGCAGCTCATCATCCCTGCTGCGCAATCCCAAACCTTGTCATCCCAATCTTGTACGACTACAGTACGCAATTGTTTACTTTCCTATTTTCCGGAATTAGCTGCAGCGCAAGGATGCCACACGAGGAGCTGCCGTTCTGGCTCGTCAACGTGCCTCGAGACCAGTGGCCGAGCGAGTGTCCTGACTTCCTGAGGAATATTAGTGACAAAGACAAGGGCATCATCGGGACGCCTGACGAGGAGTACAGGGTGCTGAGGTGGGACGAGGTGCGGGCTATTGTGGGTGAGATTGATGAAGACGTGACACGCGATAGGCGAAACGCTGATGGCTGTGGGTAGATAGCAACCGGGTGGACAAGTTTCATCGCTTGCCAAGTGAATTGAGACGGTACCGGCAGTTTACGCATCGGCTGGAGAGGGACTATGGCAGTATCATGAACTTCATTGTGAATGAGCGGCTGAAGTGGGGAAGCATGGAGCCGAGGGGAAAGCCGTTCCAATTTGATGGTGCGTTCGATTCACCTTACCCGGCTTGACATCTATATTTACCCGCGCAGAGGACATCAAGATTCTGTACAACGACTGGCCGTATGGGATTGATGCAGACATTGTCCATCTTGTCGTGTGGACCAAGTTTGAACTCGACGACGACCCCGACACTGGCCTCTCTACGGCAGAATCACATAAACAAATTGATGAGTATGTGCAAAAGACGTTTGCGACAAAAGTCAAAGAGCTGGTGTGGTTCAAAAACTGGAAGAGTCTGAAGAGCGTGCATGCAGTCGAGCACTTTCACGTCATGCTGTACAGGCCAGATGCAGCGTTTTTGAAGGAGATAACTAACGGCGACGTTCCGATGACTGAGAAGTTTGAGTGACGGGCTACTACCACCGCGTCTATTCCGGCCTGTAGTAGGAGACGGAGGATTTAGCAGGCTTGCGGGGTATTCCAGACGGCGGCGGGATATTTGGGTAACGACGGGGTATTTCAAGGAAGTTGGCAGAAAGTCTGTAGACATGCTCGCGCGTCATAGAAACATAGAAGCGCATCAGCGGAATGTTTATTAGACTGATAGAAACATATGTAGAACAGCATAATCTTATCGATACCACAGCACATTTCACGTTTTCCAGCCTTGTTCTGGCGGATCCCCTGAAGATCATCTGGTTGTTGGGACTGATTGGCGCGTCATCCAGTGGCGTACGTGGCGTGTGGCGCAACCTCCGCGTGGCGCAACTTCTTCGTGGAAAGAGCCACCGTCGAACAGCAGCAACAACAACAACGAACTACTCTCCTTTGACCCAAGTACGCTGAGCTGGACACGCGAACTAGAACTCGAACATTGCTAGGCGCATATTCCTGCAGGACCCTTTGCTATCTGTCGCCTATCGTCGAATTACAGTCGCGTGCCGGACGGGGAGCCAAAGCGGTGAGAGGCTGTCGGGTCTAGCGCGGACAAAAAAGTCGCGGGACGGCAAGGGGCCTCCTCCACATTTCAGTCTGGTCGGCACCGAGTGTCGTGAGCACCAGCCTCTACTCCCCCTCCTTCCTTCTTTACTTTTTGGCTTTGCGCGTCTGACGGTGTGTTGCGACGCCAATTGCGGGTTTCGGTATCCTAGAGGTCCAGAGTTGGAGACTTGACGGACTCTTAATAGCACGCCGACCACGGAGGGTGCACAAGGTACGCCGCAAGAACGAATATCCGGCGTGAATGTACTGACACACAAAAAGGTCTTTTGATATAGTCACATCACACGTGAGAGTCGCATCCAATCTCACCACACGCTGCGCACAGCCACCCTACGCGTCATCCCATGCGAGCGCCTCTCTAAACGCCTACACGCCCACTGAATCAACTTCAGTGGAAATACACACAAGATGCTCGGATACCTCACCAGCCGCTGGCAGGGCGAGCAGAAGAAGACGGGCCCCGCCTGGTTCGACCGCCACTTCAACCCCATCCTGCTCTCCGTCGCAAAGAAGGCATGCACGCATCCAATCCACACCATTGTCACCATTGCCTTTGTGGCCAGCTACTCATATCTGGGCGTTCTCGACAAGGGCCTGCTGGAGAGTGGCATTGAGGAAGCAGCCTCGAGCCGCGTCGACTTCACCACTCTTCTCGCCGGCAGCAAGAGACTCAGAATCGGAGAGGAGACGTCATGGCAGTGGGAGGCTGAAGAGCCCAAGACTGCCATCTACAAGGACAAGGTAGGATATCTCTAAGGTTTTCACGACCTTGCTAACAAATCAGACCGCCCAGGAACTCGCCCTCGTCACCCTCGTCTTCCCCGAATCGAGCATCATCAACTCGGCTCCCTCGCAGCAATCCGTCCCAAGCAATGTCTCCGCCGAGCTCCTCCCCAGCTCGTCCAGCTCCTTCTCCACCTTCTCCCACGATACCTCGCTCGCATTCTCCATCCCGTACACCGAAGCCGCCGACTTTCTCCAGGCCATGCAGGAGATTTCTGCGCCAGAAGATGCTGCTCAGTCGAAGGGCTCAGAGCAGGAAGGCACACGCGAGGAGAAGAAGTGGATGATGAAGGCTTCCAAGAACGGCAGTGCCCCTGGTGGTGTGCGTAACTGGATTCTGGACTCGTGGACGTCTTTCGTGGATCTTCTCAAGGTATGTTGTTTGGCGATTGGCGTGGATCTGGCTAATTTTGATAGAACGCGGATACCGGTGATATCGTCATCATGGCCCTGGGATACCTCGCCATGCACCTGACCTTCGTCTCTCTCTTCCTCGCCATGAGGCGCCTGGGATCCAACTTCTGGCTGGCTACCGCAGTTCTCCTGCAGTCCGCCTTTGCTTTCCTCTTCGGCCTCGCTGTCACGACCTACCTCGGCGTCCCCATCAACCTGATTCTACTCTCCGAAGGACTCCCATTCCTGGTCGTCATTATAGGTTTCGAGAAGCCCATTGTCCTCACCAAGGCCGTGCTTTCTGCGTCCCTCGATGGCCGACGGGCCGCTGAAGAGAAGCGGGGCGCGCCTTCGACTATCCAGTCAGCTGTACAGCTCGCCATCAAGAGGACCGGGTTCGAGATTGTCCGCGACTACTTCTTCGAGATTCTAATCCTTGTCGCCGGCGCCATGTCTGGAATCCAGGGTGGTCTGCGACAGTTCTGCTTCCTCGGCGCCTGGATCCTCTTCTTCGACGCCCTCATGCTCCTGACTTTCTACACCGCAATTCTCACCATCAAGCTCGAGATCAACCGAATCAAGCGTCATGTTGCTCTCCGCAGGGCTCTTGAGGATGACGGTGTCGATGGCAAGGTTGCTGAGAACGTCGCCCGCAACAACGACTGGCCCAACGCACGCGATGTCCAAGTCGCTAACCACACAACGACTGTCTTTGGAAAGAAGATTACAGTGCCCAAGTTCAAGATCCTCATGGTTGCTGGATTCATCCTGGTCAATGTTCTCAACGTGGTCACTCTCCGCTTTGGTCTTGCTCCCAGCAAGGTCGCTCACGTTGCCGGCGTCGGTGCCACTCCCCCGCTGGATCCCTTCAAGGTTGCTGGAAGTGGACTGGACCACATCTACGAGCAGGCCAAGGCCACCGCCACGTCCACAATTGTCACCATTCTCATGCCCATCAAGTACGAGCTCGAGTTCCCGTCTATCCACTACGCCGAGCCGTCCATCACCGACAACGAGTTCGGTTTCGGAAACAACATCAGCACGCACATCGTCGACGGAGTACTGAAGAGCTTGGAAGACCCCTTCCTCAGCAAATGGATCGTCCTCGCGCTTGTCATGAGTGTTGTACTGAACGGCTACCT